CCCTTCTGAACAGCCAGTCTGGCTAACGGGCTCTAGGAACCTGAACTAAACTTTCTGGAACGCAGGATTTTAGCCACTTGTAGTCATCAAAACTCCCCAGTGTGTCAGGTGTGTTACTGGGGAGCTTTTCTTTCCAATGGGGAGGTAAGTGGGACTGGACCGTAGAGCGCGATTCCTTGGAGAGGAGTGGGGCTGCAGCTTGTGAGCAGGGCCCGGCACTACCTGCTAGTGGGTAGAGTACAACGGCTCTCTGGCTATTTACCCCGGGGAGCTGGCAGCTCAGAAGTAGGAAGGCGAGGCGGATATGACATGCCAGTGGTTCCGACTCGGGTGAGAATTCCCCAGCGTTGCCTTAAAGCCATTAGCCTTACAAGAACTGTCCTGGAGCAAAGGCAGCCGGGCAGCTTTGTCCCCTGGTCTGTGCTGCAAACCCCAAGTGTGATGCAACACAGAGAAAGGCCAGACCAGACCTGCCCCCACCCACCGGCACATCGACCCCATGGCATTGCTGTGCCCAGCACAGCTCAGGGGATTTCGTCAGGGACTCAGCCCCTCTCTCTGGACACCGAGGAGTCTGGCCTAGTGGTGAGAGCTGAGGAATGGGGGTCCCAGCTCTGTCCCTGACTGCCTGGGTGCAGGGAGGTGTGGGGGCGGGAGGCAGGTGTGAAGTAGCACCGTGCTGCCTAGGCAGCGCCCCTGAGGCAGGGAGCTCCCTTGGACCAGCCCGCAGCCCCAGGTGTGGCATGGAGGTAGGGGGGCTGTAAGGTCTCAGCGCCGGCTGGTTCCGCTGGCTTCTTCCCTCCCCTGCTGTGGGTAAGTTCCCACTTCCGCCAGGCCCCCCAGACTGAAAGCAGCACTGTCCCACCCTCGCCCGAAGAAACGCCACCTGCATGCAGCGTGGGGGCTGCACACGGCCTGTGCCCTCTGGGCTAATGGGCTGGAGAGCACCTGGCACTGGAGAACCCGGGCACCTGTGCAGCTGAGGGCAGAAATGGAGAGGCCCACACACAGAGGCCATGGAGACACAGCTACCTGCAGCCCGCCGGGGCTGTGACCTCGCCAGAGCACATATGCCCGGCCAGACTCGGCCTCGTTCAGAGCTGAGTGGCAGACCCAGGGTCGGGGCTCCGTGGGGACGCTCTCCCCGGGCGCAGAGCTGACCCCACTGTCCCTGCGGGAGCTGGGGCACAGTGCCACAGGCAGTAGTGAAGGGGGCCCAGAAGGCGGCACTGCGGGTCTGGGGCTGTGTGTGTCAGACACTGTCACTCTAAGCAGCTGAGCCTGCAGCCCCTCAGTGCCCGGGAGGTGTCAGCCCAGCTGTCCCTGCTAACCCCCTTGAGGGCACGACCCGGCCTCCCAACCGCCCCCAGCCCGGCACTCGGCTTGGCTTGCTGCCCCCAGCAGCTGTGGGGCGCTGCTGTGCCGCGGCTGGCTCCACTCCAGAGGTGGCTGCATGTCGCTGGCAGGGGGCAGGAGAGACGGGTCATGCAAACACACGTTTCCGCGGCGCTCGGCAGGGAAGGCGCGACATGAAAGCGAAGCCGCTGGTGACTCGCAGGCGCCCGGCTGTGCCCTGCCCCGTTCGGCAGAGGGCAGAGCGCGCATGACGCCGGTGTTTACACGGGGGCGCAGGGGCGGGCAGGCAGCGGAAAGCGGAGTTAGCAAATTCTCCGGCCTAATTCACTCGGAGCGCGGCAGGGGGAATCGGCGCAGCCGGGGGCCGCGCAGCCCCATCTGCGTCCCGGCCTCATGCGCTTCCCTTGAAACATCTGGTCCGGATTTGGGGGGAGGGCGAGGGGGGCCTCCTGCCGCCGCCTGCTCGGAGCCCGGCCAAGCGCGCGTCTGCGGCCCCCGGGCTCGCCAGGCTCCCGAGCTCGGGCCGAGCCGAGCAGAGCCGGGCCCGGCGAGCCCGGGCGGGCGCAGAGCCCCGGGCACGGCCCTGGCAGAGCCTCGGGCAGGGCTCGGGGTCTGTCCATGGTGCTGCGCGCGTGTGTGTGTGTGTGTGTGTCCCTGGCCGCCGGTCTCCAGGGCGGTGTGTGTGTGTATCTATCTGTGTCCATGGCTCTGTGTGTCTCCAGGCGGGGGTGTGTATCTGTGTGCAGGGCTCTGTGTGTATCGCCAGGGGTGTGTGTGTGTATCTGTGTGCAGGGCTCTGTGTGTGTCGCCAGGGGGGTTGTCTGTCCATGGCGGGGTGTATCTGTGTGTGTGTCCGTCCATGGCTCTGTGTGTGTGTGTCTCCCTGGTTGTGTGTGTGTCTCCATGGCGGTGTGTGTCTGTGTGTATATCTGTGTGCAGAGCTCTGTGTGTGTCGCCAGAGGGGGTTGTCTGTCCATGGAGGGGTGTATCTGTGTGTGTGTCCGTCCATGGCTCTGTGTGTGTGTGTCCATGGCTGTGTGTGTGTGTGTGTGTGTGTATCTATCTGTGTCCATGGCTCTGTGTGTGTGTGTCTCCAAGGCGGTGTGTGTCTCCAGAGCGGTGTGCGTCTGTGTGTGTGTGTGTGTGTGTGTGTGTGTGTGTCTGTGTGCAGGGCTCTGAGTGTGTGTGTGTGTGTGTCCATGGCTGTGTGTGTGTGTGTGTATCTATCTGTGTCCATGGCTCTGTGTGTGTGTGTCTCCAAGGCGGTGTGTGTCTCCAGAGCGGTGTGCGTCTGTGTGTGTGTGTGTGTGTGTGTGTGTCTATGTGTGTGTGTCTATATCTGTGTGCAGGGCTCTGAGTGTGTGTGTCTGTGTGTGTCTCCAGAGCGGTGTGTGTGTGTCCCAGTGTGTGTGTGTGTGTGTGTGTGTGTGTGTGTGTCTATATCTGTGTGCAGGGCTCTGAGTGTGTGTGTCTGTGTGTGTCTCCAG